ATGGCCATGATCATCATCATCAGGTCATGATTGATCAAGTTTTAGTTGGAGCATCTGGAGTACTTCGTTAGCACTAATGATTAGTGATAGTTACTAGACAGTTACTGTCAAGCAAGCAGTAGTAGTTAGGAGAAAGAATAATTCTATAGTATAAATAAGCTGCTGAATGTAGGAAAAAGAGAAGCTGATGATTGATTGTAAATCTCCTTTTCTGAATAATATTCTACCTCTCTGTTCCTTTCCTAAAATCCTTCTCATTTCTACTCTTTCTCTTCTTCTCCTTTGTCTCAATTCTCTATCTGATTCTTCCTTTAATAGTTGCAGTCATTGCATGTACCATCTAATTTTTTTTCAAAATAAATGCTCAAAGTTGCCACTATTCATAAATTTTCTGACACAAACAAAAAGATGAAGAACAAACAAGACAAAAGAGGTAAGGCTATTTCATCTATTCAGGCTTCTCAACTAGTTGATTCATTCTTGGTAATGTTTATTTGTAAATGAAATGTTTGCTATCTTTTCCCTATAAAAAAATTAAGCAAAGGACTAGTGGATTTATACTTGTAGGATATAGATTGGTGTGGATTGTATGTTCATTGAATTTAATGGTGATGATTGAGTTTTGAGCACAATTCTCAAAATCATCAAAAAAAAATATTATAGTCTGACACTTGTTTAATTGTATAATATTGTTTTTCTTGTACATTTGATTGGTAAATTTACTTAGTTTGCACATTGCAATAGTCACTTTATTTTGCATAGATTGATTACTTTAATACTAATATTTGTGAATATCTACTAATTTTTTGGGTTACAGTAACCTCCCCTGTAATTTGCCTACTATACACGAAACCCCTCTCATTATTTAAAAATACTCACATAACCCCCTTGTTGAATTGAAGAAAATGTACTAGTAAAGGAGTACTCTATACCAATTATAAACCGCAAAAAAAGAAATTACTAAAAATTGTTATTTAGAATATGATTAAAGAAAATTCTTATCCATTAAAATTATAGTAAATTGCATAATTGGTTAAAATTCCCACACATTAGACATGAGAGCATAAACCTTGGCAACTTTAAGTAGTGTGAAGGTTTCAGACTTGCTATCACCAAAATTAGTGTGAAGTGTAAGTAGCTACAAATGAAAAAGAGTAGAAGTAATGAAATAGATAACAAAAAGTATTTACACATGGGTAAGAATGCATTGAAATTGTTCGATGAAATGCTGCAAAAAAAACTTATCTAAACTTGCAAGTGACAAGTAGTACCATGTTATTAAACATGAAGTACGTAAAATTTCAAAAGTTGTGGTTAATTTTGCTGACAAAAGTACAACTACGTAATTTAATAGAGCAAACATTGGCAAATGTAGATATTCAGATTAAAAACAGACAATAGTGGCAATAGTTAAGATTTTCATTAAAGTTAATGCAAAATCTAAATGCCAACTCAAAATATTGCAGAGTTTTGTAGCACACCTTGCTATAGTAGGATAATTAACAAAGTTAGAAAAAAATTATATTAATTTGGTTGCCTTAATGATAATTTCAACCTATTCGTCAAATCATTCCAATCCAAACCAATAAAATTGACTTCTAAGTATTTAACTTCCAATTAGCAGCTAAATCTAAAGCAAAACTGAAGCAAATAGTGTTTTCCTAAATTTCACATTCAAAAAATTTCAAATCAAAGATAATAGAAAGAGCTTACCTCAATTCCAAACTAAACCCACACCAATGGCAAAACATCTTTAACTGATTGCTTTTCACTAACAAAAAGATAAGTTTGCCCCCTAACAGTATTATGTATATAAATCTAGTGCTAATTGAAAAAAAAAAGCTCAATCTCAATCAAAAATCAGAGCCTCATGGTAGTGAAAATTCAACCATGTCAACTAAAATCATTCATATAAAAATAAACCCAATTACAATTTAGTTATCCAATCCCATCATAGAAAACCAAAGTCCAACGAATTAAAAGCTCATTGACCTTCCATCACTTATTGTCTAAATTCTATCATTCTATTGTTTTATTCCATTAAAACGATAGCTAATCCAAATTCGATATCCCATCCCATAAATCTATTGATTTGCATGTTCTAAATTTCTATCCAACTTTTGTCCTAAAATGATTTTACTTATTATTTCATTAGTTCATTTTCCCATGACTCTAGAATCTAGTGTAGCTATTACGTAAGTCTTTTATTTTTATTTTTGTATTTAATGGAAGAGAGTCATTGACTAATAGATTTTTATAGTTACATATATACTTTTGTGTTTTTTCTTTTGAAGATGAAACTTCATTTGATACATTTTGTTATTTTTAATTTAGATAAATTTAAATCTTATCCGGGGTTTTAAGATGACCACATCAATAATAGTTCCTTTATCTCTATTACATTAAAAGTTATTTATTCTTTTCTCATTAGTCCAATAAATGGTCTCTATTACATTAAAAGTTATTTATTCTTTTCTCATTAGTCCAATAAATGGTCATTTTAGATGAAAAATTGGAAATAACCTGATGCAGAAGATGGCGGGGCTTGCCTTCTTGTTCCCTTTTACTTGTGCCATGATGCTCATAGGCAGCTTATCTCTAATTGGATTTCAACATTTTCTGTTGTGTTATTGAATATCGTGAACTTAATTTGCTCTACTTTATTGACTAGGAAAACTAAAAGAATGACTTGAGACTAGATTATAAATGTTGATTGTACAAAAAAACTTGTCAATAGAATAAACTTTAGAAAATAAACAATAAATATTTTTTTTACTTTAGATGGAAAAAGAGAGAACTTTTGAAACGTAAGAGAGTTTTAACTAATTATACTGGTAGGTCTAGTGGTTAAAGTTGATGCCATAGTATGAAGATGTCCTAGGTTCTATACCCTCAGATTCCCACGTTTTAATAGAAAATTGATTCATTGTTTCAATAAGGAAGAAATGCAATTTTACTCCATAATGTTTGGCTTGAGTGCTAAATTAGTCCCTAATGTTTCGACCAAAATAAATTTGATCCCCGGAGTTTCAAAGTTTAGGCATATTTAGGATAATTGATAGAAAATCAACAATGACTAATGGTCAAAGTCAAATTGTTGTTGGCCAATAGTTTTAATTTTGTACTCTTGGTTCCAATATCTTGAATTTGGATCATCATCTCCTTTAGGTTTTAAATAGTGATATTGACGATTTTAAGATGAAACGATATGCAAATTAGATTTTTTTTTTCGAAACGATAAGTGATTTTATAGATTAAGTTAAATTTTACAAGATCAAGTAAATGCTTGATAAGCACTATACAACCAGTGCACTATGACACTAAGGAAACCAAAGTTCCTTATCTTGAAGGATGCTTAACGCATAAGCGCTAATCCTATCGCTAATATGATTATGATCTTTACTTACTAAACAAAAGGAGCACATGTGAAACAAAGACTTCAAACTATAGATATCCTCCAGCAAAGTTGCCAAGCGCATATCCTGAGTTTTGCTGTGCAGTATGCGGTTGAACACTTGTTTGTTATCCATCTGTACCTCAATTTTCCCCTACTCCTGCACAACAGTTTTGCTCATTAGGAGTTTGACAGCTGCTAGTTCATCAATTAGCTAATTTCCTGTGTTTCTCTCATGCAATGCCCAACCTCAAACATGTTCTTGGCTGTTCACAGAAACTGTGATCCCTATTCCTATTTAGGGATTGTCCTTCATCTTTTTTATAGCTAGCCTCAGTCTCATTGAGTCTTCATTCTCTTCATGTTGCTGTAAGAATGTCTCCTGAGTTCCTGTTCCTTCTATACTCATTTTTAGTTCTTTTCTGTAGCTTCCTTGAATTCCAGCCACTCCTCCTGAGCTTTCTGAATTGTTCTCATTGAGAGTTGCTGTTTTCCGTTGAATTCTTTCTCATTTCTGCTTTTCCAGATTTGCCAAAGGATATTGGCAGTTAAGGAAAGGTGTTCATTGCCCTCTCTTCTTGATTTTGCTTCTGCAACATTGGTCCACCACCTCCAGAAGCATCCTTGTTGGTTTAGAATTCCTTCCTATTGGATTGGTGCTAACCTCCACACTTGTTTGGCATAGCTGCAGTTAATCAGTGTATGTTCTATTGTCTTACTGTCCTCTCCACACACTCTACATATTGGATCACCTTGCTTAGTCTTGCTGGTGATTAGTTGTCTTACTGGTAGGGCCTGATTTAGGCATTTTCACAAGAAGATCTTCACCTTATTCTTAACGTTGAGCTTCCACAGGTGTTTCCAATTACTTTGGCTTTGTTTGCTCCAGCTTGTGCTAGCATTGTCCTTGGCTTCTCTCTTCTGTTCCACCTTTTCTTGTGCTTGTATCCTGTATGTTGAACAGACTGAGTAGTTGCCATTTGTTCCATAGATCCAAAAGTTACTATCCTCTCTATCAACTAAGCTTATGGGAATGCTCAGAATCCTTTCTGCCTCCTTACTATTGAAGTTCCTGAATATTAGCTGTCCATTCCATTTCCTTTGGAGTATCAGTTCCTCAACCTTCTATAGGATGCATCCTTGTGGTTTTTTTGGTGATTATTTGGGATCCAACAGTCCTCCCATATGTTGGTACTCTTTCCATTAGCTATCCTAACTCCTTTTTCCACCAGCTTCCTAGCCCCCATCAATCCTTTCCAAATTCACGAGACATTTTCTGGTACCTTACACTTAAAGATCGAATCCTTTGGATGGTATCTGGCTTTTAACACCTTACTGACCAACAGATTTAGTTGTGTAAGTAGTTTTCAAACCTGCTTGCCAAGCAGAGCTGTGTTAAATACCCCTAAATCCTTAAATCCTAATCCTCCAGATTATCTATCCAAAGAGATATTGCTCCAGGAGCTCCAGTGCATTTTGTTTCTTCCATTTGCCTCTCCCTACCAATAATTTGCCATGATGGAGTTTATATCTTTACATAGCCTTTTGGGAAGCTTGAAACATGACATAGTAAACGTTGGCATTGCTAGAGCTACAGATTTAAGCATTACTTCTTTAACCTCTGTTGAATGTTATCTTTGATGTACCCAAATAGCTGTTGCTTGGTTCTAGTGACCACCATTGGAAACCCCAGGTATTGCCCTTGATTAACCAGCTGAATATCTCCCAGTGCTTGACTAGTATCCTGCTTTGTCTCATGTTTCACATTTCTGCTAAAGAAAACTGAGAACTTTTCTATGTTAATCTTCTGTCCTGTTCCTTTCTCATACACTTGAAGTAATCTCCTAAGCTCAACTGCATTCTGAGGGTCTACCTTACAAAATATTAGAGAGTCATCTGCAAAAAATAGGTAAGTTACACTAGGACCCTGTCTACTGATTTTCAGCCCTGCGATTCTTTTATCCTCAATAGCTTTGTGGAGTAGATTAGATAGTCCTTCTTAGCATAAGAGGAATCGATAGGGTGATAGAGGATCATCCTATCTAATTCCCCTATGAGAAATCACATATTCTCTGACCTCGCTATTGATTGTGAAGGAATAAGAAACTGTTGACAAGCATTCCATGATCCACCTTCTCCATTTGTCATTGAATCCCATTTTCTGTATCACTGCTTCCAAGAACCTCCATTCAACCCTGTCATAAGCTTTTGACATATCCAATTTTACAGCCATAAAATCATCTTTCCCTAGCCTTTTGTTTTTTAGATAATATAAGAACTCATGGGAAATCATAATATTATCTACGATTTGCCTTCCAACAATAAAGGTTGACTGGTTCTTACTGATACAGAAATGGAGAACCTGCTTCAGTCTATCAGCAAGGACTTTAGCTATGATTTTATACACAATTGTGCACAAACTAATATGCTTATAGTGCTTAAGGGATGTGGGGTTCATGACTTTGGGAATGAGAGAGATAACTGTATGGTTGATTGACTTGATGAGATGAACAGTATGAAAGAATGTTTGAATAGCACTGATTAAGTTTTTCTTAACAATGTTCCAAAACTTCTGGAAAAAGATAAGAGGCATCCCATCTATTCTAGGGACTTTGTCTAGATTCATAGAGAAAATGGCATATTTGATCTCTTCCTCATCTACAGGTTTTGTCAGCCTATCATTCATACTTCCTAAGATAGTGTGAGGTATACCACTCAGAATTTCCTCCATGTCTCCTTCCTCTGATGTTTTGAAGAGGTCCCTATAGTAACTGGCAATTTCAGCACTTAACTCCTCTTCATTCTTAGTCCAAGTTCCATTCTCTTTCTGGATATCCGCAATTCTGTTTTTCCTCCTTCTATCCTTAACACAGGTATGAAAGAACTTAGTGTTCTTGTCCCCTTCCTTTAGCCACTACAATCTGGCTTTTTGGCTCCAATAAACCTCCTCCTCTCTATAGGCTTCTCTTAACCTACTCTTCAGAAGTTTCCCCTTGCTCTTCTTGTCACCTATGTCACTTTCTTTTAGTGCATGCAATTGTCTCTTGATCCTTTCAATGTTAATCTTCGAATTACTTTGGAGCTTATTTTTCCATTTTAGCAGTGCAGTTCTGCACCTCTTAATCTGCTGTGTTACTCTGTACATCTTTGTGCCTTCATCTCCTTGTTTCCAAGCCTGCTCTACAATCTCATTGATCTCTCCATTTTGGAGCCACCTTTTATCAAAGTAAAACCTTTTCTTTCTCCTATCCTGACCTGGTTTGGTGTCAAACATCAACATGCTGTGGTCTGAGGCAAATGAGTTCAAGTGTTTGCAGCTGACCTTATCAAAAGTTTGGTACCAAGGAAAGCTACATAACCCTCTGTCCAGTCTTTGCTTAATTTCTCCTTCGCCTTCCCAATTGTTGCACCAAGTCCAAGGGTGACCCTCAAAGCCTACTTCCATCAACTGGTTCTCATTGATAAAATCTTTAAAGGCCTTGAAACTACCTTCTTCTCTCCAATTACATCCCACTTTTCATCATTCAACAGTATGTCATTGAAATCACCTGCTAATAACCATTTTTCCCTCAAAGATCTTTCCTTGCCTGAATCACTCTCTACTGCTATTTTCTTATTTGGTCCTCACAGCTGGCATAAATCCCTATAAACCACCACTCACTCCTACTCTCCTGATCTTCTATTTGAGCTTCAATAGTAAAGGCAGTTCTTAAAACTTGCTTGATCCTAACCTCCTCTTTCCACATGAGGGCCATACCTTCTGTCTTACTCATAGCTTCCACTATTGCTATCTCATCAAACTTCAAAATATTTTTTACCTTTTCCATATATTTACTTCTATTCTTGATTTCAACACAAAAACAACACACTTGGAGAGGAGAGGTTGTTCACCTCTCTCAGTTGTGGAATTGTCAAGGAGCTCCCCACTCCTTGACAATTTCACACCAGAACTCTCATTTATCTAATGGGGTCCATTTTGGATTGGACCCCTCCCCCTCAGTATCAATACCTATTGAGGTTCCATTCAACTCAATTTTATTCCTCTTTCCATTTTGCATGCTGTCCTCATTAATTACCATTTCCATTTCCCCTATGACCCCTTTCCTTTTTCCTGACTTCCTCTCTCTGATGGTATTAGTGTTAATATCACTTAGAGGCTGCCTTTGTTTCTTGGGGGATCTCAGGACTCTCAGAATTCTTCTATTCTGTCTATCTAGAGCCTCTTTCATCTTTGGTTCCAATTCTGCTCTCATGCTTATGGACTCCATTTCTGTGTCTCCCTCTTCACAGTTCCCAGTCTTGGGGAGCTGAACCATCACAATGCCATTTCCTCCTTCCATCATCAGTATGTCTGAGTTAACTCATTCCTTTCCCTTTTCCCCTATTTGTTTACCTTCCCCTAAACTCCTACTTTGTTCCTTGTGTACCTCATACCCATCCCTTGATTCCTTTGGGAGTTGATCTCTAGCTCTATTACCCCCTACACTATTAACCACTTCAGTAGACTTATTAGATTGTATGCTCAGTTCGTCAATTATACCTCTCCACTGTTCTTCCTGACTACTCTCTCCTAATGACTGAGTTCTAATCTCATTTCCAGACTCTTTGATGCTGGTATTAGCCTTTGGTGTCTGGTTCTTATGCTTACCTTCCTGCACACCATTCCTCCCTTTCTCCTTCCACTCCCCATCTTGGAGTCTCCAGTGATGTGCTTGAGGGTTGTACACAATACTGGATTGTTTTTCCTATGGAGAACTTCTCAGATTACCAACCCTCAACCACAGACCATATTGATTATCCTTCTTCCCCCATCCAGTATAGACTTGCTTTTTGCATGTCCTTTTACTGTGTCCTATAATGCCACAATTGTAGCAAAAATCTGGGCATATCTTATATTTGAAACTAGCCCACTTAGTTACATCTCCAACCTTAACAATGGTTTCTCTCAGCAGGGGTTGGCAAATGTTAACAACCACTAGAAGTTTCAAATGTCTAACTTCTTTTTACCCCCAGTCTAGGGAACTATCACCTCTCTCACCTGGTGAAAGATTGAACCTATTTTCTTCCCTGCCTCTTTCGACATCCAGTGTACTGGCAAGTTCCAAACTTGAATCCATAGAGGTGCTAAGCAGAATGCCCTTTCATCCTTCTCTATTCCTTCATACCAATTGTTCAGAACAAGCACTTGGTTATCCATTATCCAAGGTCCTCTATTCAGGATCTTCTCCCTGTCACTTTCCACCGGTAGAATGAATGAAACATATTCGATCCTAGTTCCACCACTCTCAGTTCTCTAGGGTACCCCCAAGTTGTTGTCACAAAGTTTTTGACCCCAGTGTAGTTTGAGACTTTCTCTCCCATTACTTTACCAATCAAGCTGATTTTGCATTCTTTCACCCCTCTCCCTATCTCCTCGCTACCAAGGCTAGTAGCTTGAAGTTCTGTGCTAGAAAGGTCAAAGTTCTGCATGATCTCAGCCAGTTCATCCGTCATTGTCTTAGCAAATACTGTTGGTATACCACACACTACCCCTCAGAGTCTGGATAGTCACAAAACCTATGTGAGAAGGAGAAAATCTACTATATTTCTCCTGGTTCAAGCATCCTGGAAGGAAGAAACGAAAGCCAAACAAGACACAAAACTAAGGCTAGGACGAGATAGTTATGTCCATGAAATTACCTGTCTCAGCTTTGTTAGAGTCTCCAGGTGGTTTGTTAGCTGTGATCCAGAGCTCTAGCTTGGTCAACCCTCTTCTTTCTCCTTAGTTTTCTTATACTACTAGGATGGCGACTGGTCAGCTGAAGCTGCGAGAATTTTGCAGACTTGGATTTTTTTGTTTTTTTGTTTTCCTTTTCGTATGAACTTAAAACAGGGAACTGAGATTTCAGCTTGTTAATGTTGGTGTTTTTCCGACAGAGTTTTGCTTTCTGAGCAGTTTAATGCTGCTCGGAAAGCCAGGAGTGTTGAGAAATAAGTACGCCAACCGGTTGAATTTGAGTAGGTGTATTTCAAATTCAAGATTCAAAAAGTAACTTTTCGGTGCTGTCTGGAGCTCCTACCACGGGGAGATAGAACTCTCTTTTTAGAGAGAGAAAATGCCTCTACTAGAGAGAGGACTCATATTCCAATATGCAAATTAGATTGAAATTGTATTGAAAAATGTGCAAAAGTTAAGTACAACTTTTTCCTTTTCTTTTTCTTTTTATTTAATTCATTCATCCCACTAATTTCTCATAGACTTTTTCATTTGCATAGTTGGTGTTAGATTTGGCATAACACACACACACACACATATATGCATGCATGTATGTATGTATGTGTGTATATATGTATGTATTACTTTTGCACTATGAAGAGTTAAATGATAATGAACTCATTATTACTGTCATTTGTATTGATAATTAAACACTCAATTAAATGACCCTTTAAGAAATAAAAAATTTGTTTTATATGTAAGTTAGATTGTTCGTCTTTCTTTTTTCAATTTCAATAGGTTATCAATTGAGTATGAGCTGAATTGGCTTTTTGTATAGTTATTCGAATCACACGATAAAATTATCAGGGTAAACAAATAGTAAAATAAATATTTTAAAACTTTACTATTGGAACATTGGATTTAATAGGTAGGAAAAACAACAAAATAGAGGAAGTTTTTTGTTTTTCAGAGATTCCTAAAAACACTTCATTTGTACTTATATTCAATAGTTTTTATAATTAAACTACTAACTACACCAATTTGCAGCTTATGTCCACTAGTCATGCAAGAATTTGTGTAGTCGAAATTAATAAAGCTATATACTAAAACTACAATTTTTTTTTCCTTTTCTTATACTAATTTTTGTTTTACATATCAAATTTATATTGTATTACAACTACAACTTATTTAATAAAGGGATGCTCTTTAGATCAAAATGATATGAAGTGTTTATGAAATTCTATAGGAAGTAGAGAGCACATGTATTGTATATTTAATCAATTCATATCTGTTTTCATTTTCAAATTGAAAATGTGGCTATAACTATTTAAAATCTAAGGGACCATAATAATCTAAATTCAAGATATTAGTGATTATAGGTGCAATGCCAAAAAACTTTTGGCTAATGGTAATTAAATTTTTTTTTATCTAGTGTAAGTGGATGCCTTGAATCCAAGACCTTTCATTTCTATTCTCACCCTTGGTACTACCCAACCCATCCCTCTTCCTAATGGTAATTTGATTTTGATGATTAATCATTATTGATTTCCTATTAATTGTCTTAAATGGCAAGTGCCTCAAATTTGAAACTTTCGGGACCAAATTTATTTTAGTTGAAATATTAAGGACCAGTTTCGCACATAGGCCAAACATGGGAAACTAAATTGCAACTATTGAAACAAGCGTTATGCTAAGGATTTTGAAGCTTCCACGTAAGGGGGAGCAAAATCAGGCCTTTTTTTTTTTAAGCCCTTTTATTTTCTGAGGAGGACAATGCATCCCAATTGGGAAAGAAAGGGAAGAATTGAACACCTAAAGAAAAAAGCGCAAAAAGATTTCCAGCAATTCAGCTCCTATGGCCATGGCTTTCCGATTTCCTTACAGACCCTTTATTTCTGTAAGTGTCTGATACAAGAAATCTATTTGCAGCTTGAATGGTTATTCCAATGGTGTTTTAGTTTTCTGGAATATATTGCACTGTTTGAATGTTGTGCTGTAATTTATGCAAGAATATTTGTCAGAGATGCTGTAATTGATTGTAGTAATTTTTATTTTTTGCTGGGAATATACTGACACTAGATTATATATTGGTGAATTAGCTTTATGTTATTTGAACACCGAAATGGTCATTTGGGAAGGAAGTAAATATTTTAGTGAGACAGATGAAGCATATTAGGTCTGGTATATTGTTCAGATAACTTTTAAATGATAGTACAGAAACCAGGAACAGAAACAATATAATAGTCATTGATATATACGGAAGAAAACAGTAATTTTTTTAAGGGAACAGTTATATGTTCATCCAGTAGAAATGCCTAATGAAAACCTTGAGGTTAAATTTCAGGCAGCGATAGTGAAAGAAAAAGCGGGATCTTCTTTTTTTCAATTTTTGCTTTCTCATTTTGAACCTTTTGTAGAATATATCTGACAGTTAGAGCAAGGTGTTATATTCTGGATCTGCTCTATGTATTTGAGAGAGAAGATCAGTTTTTGTTATTTTAGCTGAGTTTGGTTTGGCTCCGGTTGAAGGTGTAGTGGGGAGGGTGGATATAGGAGCCTTAGGGCTTAGGAAGGACAATGGACCAATAGGAGTAACTGTTAAATAGTGGAACTTTTGGGCTAGTGGTGTGCGTTTGTTTATTTGAGTAATTTTTCTTATTCTTTCGTCTTTCCAGAATTTTGGGAAAATATGATGTTCCAGAAAAGCTATTAAACATGGAAGGTTTTTTTTAAATATATCTAATATTTTTATAATTTGATCACGTCAGACTCGTCTGCTTCAATTGTATATATGCCATGATTGATTTGGCTATTCCTTGAGGGGGAAATCACATTGTGAATGTAACGTGTGGGAATCGATCTAGAAATATGTTAGTTAGCAAATGTTATATCATTTTAGTCGTTAAGATTGACACTGCCTGATATGTCATTTGGTAATTGGAAATGTATTACTTATAATATATTACATTGTTGTGTGTCCTGAATTATCGAATCAAAGAAAAAAACTATTGTCACCTTATGTAAAGTGGGTAGGCATAAACTTAAGCTTAAATTATGTTGGCTCTGGATCTTTTGGGTGTTTAAATTTGGATTCTTTCTTCTGATGGGTAGCGGTGAACACTTGGAATATCCTGATATAGGACATGAAATTGGATGCTGGTGGCATATACAACACAACTGGAAAGGTGAAGGCAGAAAGTTTGGAGGAGAATCCAGACTGTAGTTGTGGCAAATATTTTGCAATCGCTTATGAAATTTCTTGCCAATCCAGCTGTTTTGGCCACTAGCTTAGAAACTGTCTGTCTTTCACTCATAAATTCCTCTTTCCTATGAGTTTTCTTTTTCTCCTCCAAGAGTTTAGACCTCTTTTCTCTTCAAATTTTCATTTTATTATCTTTTGTATGATCTTTGTTGATAGCATATGTAGATTTATGAAATTCTTTAAATTTCAGTTTCTTTCATGCCAAATTCATAGGATTTGAATATTCTTCAATTCGTGGGACTTTAATTCTATACTGAAATGATACATTTTCAAGTTCCTATAACTATCTATTGTTTTTTCCCCCTCCATTGCAATATGTTTATTCAAAAACTCAATTTACAGATTTAACATGACAAGAAAAGTGATATTTAATGTCCTAGATTTCGTTTTCTTAAAACCTCAGTTCCCAAAAATTTCGAAGACAGTGTAATTCTCAATTGCTTTGAAGAGAACATATGCTTATAGTTTGTGCTAAAAAAAACATGCTTATGTCTTCTCTTTCATCTATTTACATGTCAATATAATCTAATGGGATTCTTTGTTTATTTAACTTAGGTGACAAAATTTTGAAATTTCAAGAATTTGGTAAAAACTGTAACATATTTGGGTTTAAATTTCATTCAGATTATATGATGTTCTCTCTCTCTTTTCGGTCCTTTGTAGACAATTATTTTCAACGTGTAATGAACATATTTACATATATCCAAATGAAGGAAAAGAAAGAAACCTTTTTGTGCTCTTATGAGCTGTATCATGTCATGTCCTGGAAATTGTCTCTCTTCTTTTAATTTCTTTCTGTAATTTTGATGAAGAAGGCTATAGTTACTTGAGTTCTACTGTGCTAAATTAAAATTGTCTATTGGTGTTGAATGTTTGTTTGCCTAAGATGTGAGTGATTCTGAGGAGAGTATAATTGTTTAGTGTTGCTGAATTAAATGCATTTAACATTTGCATTTTTTAATTTGAAAACTTGGCTGTCAGCCTTGAATTTTGAGGGCACTTGCCTAAGAAGAGAGTGATTCATAGGAGATTAAAAGTATTTGATGTGGCCAAATTGAATGTGTTCAACATTTCCAGTTTTGGGATGATTCAACCGTGGGTTTTAAGGCTATCTGTGAGAAAATTTAATGGTGACAAAATTGTCTTAGTGCACCCTGTGCTATTCTTGTTTCACAATGCTTCTTTTCCTCTTTTCCTTTCTTGAAATTTCATGTCCATATCTCTTCCAAGAGTGAACTTTTGCGCTAGTATAAGCTTGTTACACGGTGATCCATTGGACAACAGTATGTTTGCACGCAATTGTTACACATTTAGCTTTATCTAGACCAGGCAATGCACTTGGTTTGTGCCCTTTCTATTTTTTTTTTAAAGTAATCTCTGGGTTTCTTCTCATAGACAGCTACAGGAGTACTCTAAGAGAAAATGTTGTCAGGAACATTTATGAAATTAAAGTCATGATGCTTCCAAATGCTTCAGAGAGTCATAAACGGTTTTGATTATTAACTGTTATCTTGTTTTGGAGTGGTTCCATAGATAATTGGCCCATCATGCATGGTTTTAATTCTTACTTTGCTCCTTTACCATTCAGGGCCCGAGAAGTACAGGAGAATTGCTCAGCCAAATATTGACAGCAAGTTGGATATTATCTTGATATATGCTTTGGCTCTTCCATATCTGAAAGTAATTGATAGCTAAAATCTGAAAACAAGTCTTGTCTTCCTAATTTACAGGTTGCATTCAATCAACTTGCAAGAACAGAAAACCTCTTGGTAGAGTGGGAAGGATTTTATCTTTTCAAGGATCCTCAAAGCATGTGCAGACAGCTTGCCGAATCTCATTTCCAAGGGCTACTTTAGAAAGTAAAGAGAAGGCATCTTCAAGTTTGAGGAAAAAGATGATAATTCCTGATTCAGATCCACCTAGTGTTCAAGATGTCAACATTCTCTATCAATTTTTTGATAGGAGGTATGATTGATATTGGTGGTATTGCATCACTTTTTTGTGTACCTGTTAGATTAATCTCAGGAGAATCTGCAGGAGCAGTATATATGTGATTGTAGAGAACTCATCTTTATTCTTCAATTTCTTGTCATCTGTGTGTGCACTCAACTTGGCAAGGACAACTGATCTGATTGCACTCATAACTCTAACTAAATCAAGAAGAATAGATCCAGATTGATCTCTAGTTCAAAAAGCTCACCATTTTTCCCTCTTTGATGATTCAATTAGCACTTTCTTTTTCTCTTTTGTGGATGTGGAAAGTTAACTCAATTTGAGTTCCTTAGTTGTCTATAATTTGCTTACTTCTGAAACTTTCGGTTGTCGCGTAAAAAGCCTGCCCCAGGGGTCACTTTTTACATATAAGGGTCTCTTTGACATAACAATCCCATATAATTAATATGTACTTTGTGTAGTATGTGTGTGGGAGAGTTTAAAATGCACATTTGGTTTACCTTCTTACAGAAGGAACCAGCATGCATTAAGTTGTTTAAATATAAAGTTAAATTTAGTTGCAAGTTTTTACTGAAGAACATGCTGTTCCAGTGTGGTTTAAAAGAATTGAATTTCTGTAAGGTCTTCAAAGTTATTTTCTAAAGGATTGACACTATATGTTTTTAAATTCAGGTTTTCCATTTAACAATTTGAATGTTCAAGATAGCCAATCCAAACTGGTTTTCTACTTTTCTCTAGCCTTTGCATGCTAACCTGCTGTTTAAATAACATATGTGAAAATGTTGCAGAAAACTGTGCACTTTCAGTTTCAAAGAGGTTTCATTTATGACACCTGAAATTCCTAATTATGAATTTTACCATTCCAAGGCAGTTTTACTCCCTTTCTAAGGGAAACTGTTATTTACATGATTTTGTTAAAATCTCTGACCAATTTCGATTCTTGCTAATTTTACAGTTCAAATCTTGTTGTTCTGACTGGTGCTGGAATTAGCACAGAGTGTGGAATTCCTGATTATAGAAGGTTAGTGTCTTTTTCAAATTTTTTTTGGTTGCTTAGTTGCAGATTACCATGCTTACATGTCATGTTCCTGGCAATGTGTTAGTATGCATGGTATTTTTGATATGTTTTTTTTGCTTATTGACAACTTCTATAAGAACACATGTTGGAAGGTGCTTGGAATTAGAATTGGAACTTTAGAATCATATCTGGTAGGATTAAAAGATGTGTCATATTTTAATTGTGTTAGTGTTGTGTTTGACTTCTGTTTTTTGGGTTGCTAGCACATCATCATAGTGCTATTCTGTGATTCTCATAATGCATAGAGGAACTGTCACGCCCCAGGCTTGCTGTATTTTGGGTTGCTAGCACTCCATCATAATGCTATTCTTTTATTCTCATGCTGAGTGTTGCATATGTTTCCCATCAACCTTCATATTTAGATGCTTGTACATCTTATTAGAATAGCCTTAGCCCTCTTGCATATTGGTTTCCTTAAGATTACATTGGAGAACTGTCACGCCCTAGGCCCGCAGGCCGAAATGCAACCAAAGTCTCAGCAGCCAAGTCCAACTACTTGGGCGTCATCCTCGCTAGCCCAAAATGGATATCCCAAGTTGGACTTGAGTGCTTAGGCTCTACTTAAGTATCTCTCTTGCTTGTCTTCTAGACCAAAGGAGTGGAGACAAGATAAGAGAGAGTATAAGCTTGATCCACCTTCACTTATTGGTTTTTCGATGTGGGATGGGGTATCACATTCACCCTTCCTTTTTAGGCTTTGCGTTCTCGCAAATCCAGACTATCCACTCAATTGTGTCAGATTCTATGTAGCACTTATCTCTTCACAGCACTTTGTTCCTTCACTCCCTTGTGTAGTCTGGCGCAATACCACTGGCTTAGTCTCCCTTGGGTCAACATAGCACTTAGCCCTGCACAGCACTTAGTTCCTCCGCTCCTTTGTGTAGTCCGGCCCAATACCACTGGCCCAGTCTCACCCGCTGTAGAGACCACACATGGCGCTTTGATACCATAATGTCACACCCCAGGCCTGCAAGCCCAGAACACGACCAAAGTCTCAGCAGGCAAGTCCAACTACTTGGGCTCGGTCCTCGCTAGCCCAAAATGGATATCCCAAGTTGGACTTGTGTGCTTAGGCTCTGTCAAGAGAATATAAGTATTCTTGTAGATAATAAATTAGTAAGGGTATTCTTGTAAATAGTTTGTTAGGTTTGTACTCCTATAAATACTAGTTGGTCACTCATAATACTGTGACTAGATGTTTTCCTCCCAAAATACCAGTTGACATGGTATCAGAGCAAAAGTCCTAGGGTTAGGGTTAAACATCTAGCAAAAGTCTTGACGCGATACTGTTCATCACGACTGTTCACGCGGTACTGTTCACGCGGTACTGTTCATCGCGATACTGTTCACCCCGGTACTATTCACGGCGCACTGTTCACGGCGCACTGTTTATAGCGAATTTTGATTGCTGTTTTGTTTGAAGTGCTATTCGCTATGGTTGAAAGTTTTGCTAATGGGGTTACCACTGATCAAGTTAAATCAAGTTCTTCAGCACATAGGTCCCAGAAAACTGTTATTATATCCGAGGAAGATTATGTTAAATTCTTACAGTACCAAACTACAAGTCACGCATCTCTTCCCTCTGCTTCTTTAGCACAAAAAGGTAATGACTCATGGATTATTGACTCCGGGGCTACTGATCATATGTCAGGTACCTCTAAAATTTTTTCTAATTTTCAAGAGTCTACTCCCTTTCCTCATGTTACTTTAGCTGATGGATCTACCACTAAAGTTAAAGGACTAGGCACTGTAGAAATTAATCCATCACTTCCGCTGTCTTCTGTTCTTTACGTACCCAATTTACCATTTAATCTAATGTCTGTTAGTAAGCTCACTAAATTTCTACAGTGTACAGTTACTTTTTCTCCTGATTCCGTTGTCATTCAGGATTTGAAGACAAAGAGGACGATTGGTGGAGGGCATGAGCATAATGGTCTTTACTTTCTCAACTTTAATGGTCCGATAGCATGTCCTGCTACTGTTTCTCCTCTTGAAATTCACTGTCGTTTAGGTCATCCGTCTTTACAAAATTTGAAAAAGTTGGTTCCTACTTTGAATCAATTATCTTCGTTAGAATGTGAGTCTTGTCAGTTAGGAAAGCATCATCGTGTTTCTTTTGCTCCTAAAGTCAATAAACGGGTTTCTGAACCCTTTTTGTTAGTTCATTCTGATGTTTGGGGTCCTAGTCGAGTCACTTCAAAGTTAGGTTTTAAATATTTTGTAGTCTTTGTTGATGATTTTTCCAGAGTTACATGGCTTTATTTAATGAAAGATCGTTCAGAATTATATTCCATTTTTTGTGCATTTGTTACAGAAATAAAGAATCAATTTGGTGTGCCTGTGCGTATACTTCGCAGTGATAATGCGAAAGAATATTTTTCCACTCCTTTTAATACCTTTATGACTAAGTCTGGTATTATTCATCAGTCCTCTTGTCCTCACACTCCACAACAGAATGGAGTTGCTGAAAGGAAAATTGGACATTTAATCGAAATTGCTCGAACACTGTTGTTGCACATGAATGTGCCCAAACAATTTTGGAGTGATGCAGTTCTAACTGCATGTTATTTAATTAATCGCATGGCATCTAATATTCTTGAAGGTCAATTACCTCACTCCATTCTTTTTCCTCATGAACCTGTGTTTAAATTGCCTCCTCGTATTTTTGGATGTGTCTGCTTTGTTCATCAGCTTGCTCCCGGGGTGGATAAATTAGATTCTCGTGCTATTAAGTGTATTTTCTTAGGATATGCACGAGCGCAAAAAGGGTATAGATGTTACAGTCCAGTTTTAAATCGATTTTTTACTTGTGCTGATGTTACTTTCTTTGAATCCACTCCGTATTTTATCAAACAAAGTATGTCTTGTGAGTTAGACCAGTGTCCCTCTTTTTCCTCTCCTGTTTTACCAGTCCCTTCCCCTTTATTACCTGAGTTATCTAGTCCACCAGATTCCATAGCTCGATTATCTCGTCCTCATCTTCAAGTTTACTCTCGTCGTTCCATGGTTGAAAAAGTTCCTGATATGCCACGCACTTCACCAATTAATTCTCAATCTTCCAATTCAGGTATGACGCCCTCCTCTGAGTTAGATCTTCCCATTGCTTTACGCAAAGGTAAGAGACATTGTACTTCCCATCCTATTTCTAATTTTGTTTCTTATTCTCGTCTCTCTATGTCATATTCTTCTTTTGTTGCTTCCCTTGATTCTGTCTCCATTCCTAAGTCTATTACCTATGCTCTTAATCATCCTGGTTGGAGATTAGCTATGCAAGAAGAGATGTCTGCTTTGGAACAAAATGGTACTTGGGATCTTGTCCCTCGTCCTTCAGGTAAGCCTGTTGTTGGTTGTAAATGGGTGTACACTATAAAAGTGCAGCCTAATGGTTCTATTGATAGATTGAAGGCTCGGCTGGTAGTTAGAGGATTTACTCAGGTGTATGGAGTAGATTACTTAGAAACTTTTTCTCCTGTTGCAAAGATTACCTCTGTTCGTCTTCTTATCTCTTTGGCAGCCACTTATAATTGGCCATTGCATCAGTTGGATGTGAAAAATGCATTTCTGCATGGAGATTTGAAAGAAGAGGTATATATGGAACAACCTCCTGGATTTGTTGTTCAGGGGGAGAATCCGCGGTTGGTTTGTCGTTTGAAAAAATCCTTATATGGATTGAAACAGTCTCCGAGGGCTTGGTTTGGCCGGTTTAGTAGTGTTGTCATGGAGTTCGGTCTGACAAGATGTGGAGTAGATCACTCTGTATTTTATCGGCATTCTAATGCTGGTAAAATTTTATTAGTTGTTTATGTGGATGACATTGTGATTACAGGTGATGATGTTGTGGGGATTCAGAAACTTAAATCCAATCTGCAGGCAAACTTTCAGACAAAGGATTTAGGTCATCTACAGTATTTTCTGGGTATTGAGGTAGCTCGGTCTAAATATGGGATTTATTTATGTCAAAGAAAATATGTACTCGATATGTTGAGTGAAGTTGGGATGTTAGGTTGCCGACCTGTGGATACTCCTATGGATCCAAATGTGAAATTAGCAGGAGATCAAGGTGCATTACTTGATGATCCTAAGCAATATCGAAGACTTGTGGGTAAATTAAATTATCTCACTGTAACGAGACCTGACATTTCGTTTGCAGTGAGTGTTGTGAGTCAATTTCTTGATACCCCTCGTACTAGTCATTGGGATGCTGTTATACGGATTCTCAGATATCTTAAGAGTGCTCCTGGAAAAGGGTTGCTGTATCAAAATCATGGACACACTGATATTGAAGGATATAGTGATGCAGATTGGGCTGGTTCTGCCTCAGATCGAAGATCGACTACAGGATATTGTGTGTTTGTTGGTGGTAATTTAGTGTCGTGGAAGAGTAAGAAGCAAACAGTTGTATCCAGATCAAGTGCAGAATCTGAATACCGCGCTATGGCTCACACTGTGTGTGAGTTGGTTTGGTTGAAGAGCATATTACTGGAACTTGGGTTTGAGCATAAACAGCCTATGAATTTAGTGTGTGATAATCAGGCGGCTGTTCATATTGCGTCTAATCCAGTGTTTCATGAAAGGACAAAACATATTGAAGTTGATTGTCATTTCATTCGAGAGAAATTGCTTGACGGGGTCATCAAGACATCTCATGTACCGTCTGTAGATCAATTGGCTGATGTGTTTACCAAGAGTTTAGGGGGTTCTAGGGTGAAATACATTTGTAACAAGTTGGGTGCTTATGATATATATGCTCCAACTTGAGGGGGAGTGTCAAGAGAATATAAGTATTCTTGTAGATAATAAATTAGTAAGGGTATTCTTGTAAATAGTTTGTTAGGTTTGTACTCCTATAAATACTAGTTGGTCACTCATAATACTGTGACTAGATGTTTTCCTCCCAAAATACCAGTTGACAGGCTCTACTTAAGTATTGGTCTATAGCACTTTACTTTTACGATGTGGGATGAGGTATCGCAGGAACCAATAGAAATTATTGTTAGTGACATGGCAAATCAGTAATGAAGGATAAAAGAGTAGAAGCTTGCTTTTGAATGCAAGAACTTAGCTGTTGATCTTCAACTAATCAGAAGTTAAAGTTCTTTCATTTGTCAATTGGTTGAATTAGTGATAGTGAGTACATTTTTATTTTTTATTTTTACTTTTATATACTTACTTATATCCACGAACTTGAGGATAACTTTCTGGTTGGTTCTACTAGAGTGGTGCAACTATCTCCTTATCAAGAGCTTCACTTACATCATCTAGTTTTTTAGTCCAACAGCATCTAGGGTTCCTTGAATTATGTGATATCTACCACTGGTTAATCTGCATCAAGCTGTTCACAGGAGCCAACTTGAAAGTTGTCTTAGTGGAATTTATATTTCACACCCCTTAAGTTTTTATGTCTAGTCCTTTAATTACAAGAGCTCCAAAACCAGCATGATTTCCTTCTAGATATTACTACCTTTTTTACTTCTGCAAAACAAAGCAGTGCCTGATCTGTACCCAAAACTCTAACCTAAGAGGAGATGGAGGTCTTAAGGGGCAAAGGGGGAAGAAGGGCCGGAAAGACAGAAAGGCAGAGTGTTTGGTTTTCATTTCCTGCCTCTCTTTTTTTCTTTTTTTTGGGGTGTGGGGTATGGTTGGATTAGACTTTTGTATGTATGCTGTTTCTGACATTTGAAGTTGCTAAGCCTACCGCAATAAATCATTATTCATTTGCACAAATGAAATGTTATAAAACAAGTAGGTGCAGCATTTTACTGATCTGCACCAGTTTCAAAATGTATATACTTTTTGTGACTAAAAAGAAAACTCGATAAACAAATACAAATATATTTTTCCTTTCTCATTAAAGAGTTACATATATATAATGAAAAGCTTCTGGTGTTAATGCTATCATAGAAAGCATGTGAAGAAACAGAATTAGAGCATTTGTTGGCAAAGTATCCTCTAGGTAATCTTGTTCAAGTGCTAGATTTGATAATGGCTATAGAATGCAAATTATTGTTGTCATTAGCACTCAAGATTAAACAATCAAATGCACTGAAGTATAGGGATAACAAAGATGTTTGCAAGGTTTGAGTGACATGTAATAAGTCAAAACAATGCAAAAAAGCAAAATCTTTTGGCTGTACCAAACTTGTGGATGGAAGAATTGAACAATAATGAAAATTTTTTCCATGGATATGCTCATCTGAAGAGCATTAATGTTGCTTGGTGAGATGGTATATTGGCTGCAGGCTATTAGAAGCGTGGAATGAGTTTTACAGGTACATGAGTTTAAATATAAAAGAGGATTTGGAGATGACATCGAACACGGTTTTTAGGGAGAGATGGTTGTTGAAACAGATTTTCAGGTTGTTATGCAACTGATCCAAACAAGGGGAAATTAGTTATCAGTCATCAGCAAAAGTTACAGTGCATTGCAGGATACTAATATCTAGAGACTGGAGGCCTTTGTTTAGCACACTCTTAGTAAATGAAACAGGGCAGTGGACCAGCTTTCCAATTGGGGGTTTGGCATTTGTAATTATTCAGGAGTTATGTCAGGAGTTAGGACAGATTTAGATCTAGAAAGTACGGGAGTTTTTCTTCCATGATTCGGATCATAGTGTTATCGTCCCCTTTGTAACAAGAAAGTAGATAGTTTTGCTCCTTAATCAAAAGGCTTGGGCAAGAGAAAGACCTTTAAGAAGTATTACTTAGTCTGCACTTATTTTAATTAAGGGTAAAAAAACAAAAAAACCCCCTGTGGTAAACCTAATACAAAGAAAAGCCCCCCGTGGTTTCAAAATGTACAACATAACACCTCATGTTTTGAACTAAATTGTAAAGGTGATGGAATCCGTTAAACTTAACGGAAATGACTTATTGGGACCTGAAAAAATTTTTTATACCTAATTTTGAACAAATATACCTATTTTACCCCTTAACCCTCAATTCTCTCTATCTAGAGAATAAAACAAATGATTTTTTTGGGCTGTCTTTTGCTTAATTATATCGGGGCATTTTGGTCATTTCGTCTATTTCTGTTAAATTTAACGGATTCCGTCATCTTTACAATTTAGTTCAAAGTATGGGATGTCGTGTTGTACGTTTTGAAACCACGGGAGGCTTTTCTGTATATTAAGTTTACCACGGGGGGCCTTTTTGTTTTTTACCCTTTAATTAAATAAATCTGAGGTTGCAGAAAATATAGAAAAGATGTAGTTAATATTATCTTCATTTTGAGTATTACTGGATTAGGACACAAATAGAGGATTTTTTCTGTGGGCTTTAATGAAGTTGGAAGAAGAGACTTGAAATTCTTTGGTAAGTAAATGTCGGAAAGTACAGCCTTGGAAGCTTGAGTTTTCCGTGTCGGAGCTGCATAATGTAGCAATCCTATGAGAAACAATGTTGAAAAACTACAAAATTGTATGCTATTGGCTGATTATTTGCAAATGCGATGAAGAAACCGGGGGCCCCTCTTGCTTTGGAGAGTTCAAACTAATATGAGAAAACGGGAAAACAAAATATCTGATGCTTTCAGGGAACAGTAGGCACTCAAAAATTTCTAGTTGACCCCTAATGGATAAAGATAAGTCTGTCATTCATGAAACTGGTCCATTTGATAAAAGCAGAAGAGTGGAGTTGCAGCCATCAAGCTGCACTGTGTGTTTGAATCAATGTATAAGTATAATTTGGTTGTGGATGGAGAACTTCCTATCATTTACCATTTTTCAATTCACCTTTTAGTAATTTTCTTTTTACTTGAGTGGACCTACATTTTCAAGTTGTTACCTGTATTTCATTAACTTACAGATGTATGCTAGATAAACTAGTAGAACAAATTGAAAGATCATGACAAATTATATTCGTATTAGTGAACATTGACCACAAAATGTATAACCTGCTGACTCAAAAAAGAAAAAAAAATATACAACCTACCGAAGGAACTGATGATAATGGTAATGGCAATAACTCTAACAATTACAAGTGCAGCATTAATAACAAAAGTAGCAATGAGGCTGATGATGGTTACCGAGAAAGCCTGTGAAGAAAGAAAACAAAATGATAGAAAAGTGCAATTACTTTTTTCAGCAAGCCTAGAATGTGGTTCCAGTAGCATTTGTGGAAATATTTCACCTCATACCATTGAGATGCCATTCGAGATGCTCAGGTACTTGAGTGCAAATGTGTACTTTTAATAATTATGCCATCTGCTTCCTTCTGTTCCACATCCTAAATCATTCAGTGATAACAGTCTCCAGGGAGTAGTTGATGAACAAATATATGCAGGTTATGCGAGTAAATTCATCTAATTTTTCATTTTGCTCGCCAATGTAAGTTTGTGAGCCACTTTTGACAAAATATTTGTATTTCCTTTTATAGAATATTGAATACAATCTTTTTGATGAAATAGCTAAATCGTGTAGTTTTCTAATACTGATTCAAAGATGTGTATTCTAGCAGGAGTCATCTACTTGTCTGTCTATGTTTTCTTTCGCTAGAATAAGAATCTCATCAATGTTAAAACCAGCTGGGCCTGCATATCCTACCCGATGACAGAAATTTTCAATTTGCACATCAAATATGTAAAAGTGAAAATCTGCTTTGAAGCTGAGAAGTAATATCATTTTGTCCTTTTCTTTGCAGTCCAAATGGAGCTTATAGCACTGGATTCAAACCCATAACCCATCAGGTGAACCGAAGGCACGCGCCATGAAATCTAGCTAGTTTTTTGAGTGATTTTCCACTATGTTGGATAATCTTCTACTGTTCCAAAAAGTCAGAGATGCCCCATTCTTTTAAATGCCGTTTAGACTTGAAAATACATGGAGCCATTCATTGAACCTTTTTTGTTAAATGTTGCATGAACTGCTCATTTGATAATTTGGTCTAAGCCTTTTTTATTGATTTTTTTTAACAGCTTATAAAATTATTATTTTTAACAAAAATGTTTGCCACCTAGACTAGATTTGATGATAGACATCATGCAGTAGAGCTTTAGGCAGTCAAGATTTAGCCAAGTGCTATGTTGTTTGAACATGTTTTTATTGCAAACCAAAAATTGAAATTGCTGTTCAGCTTGTCTTGTTTACTTGTCTTGTCTAATTGTTAAACAAGCATTTGTCCAACTGGCCTTTAGCAGGGTTCTTGAAGCTTGCTTCTTCTGTATATGTCTCTATAACTGCAAATGCACTATCAGTATAGAATTTATACTTATATATATATTTTTTTGGTGTTGAGGGGATGTGAATTTGAGCTTGTAAGTTAACAAATACTAACACACCTTCAAGCTTGATTTCACTAGCTGAAAAAACTATGTACAATGAGCTTCCCCTGAGTTGATGGAGTTGGATTTCAAGTTCCTTGATCTGTATTTGAATCCTATCAAGGAGATGAAGCATGCCAAAAAAGAAAAAGTCATTAAAATGTGGACATTGGAGGAAAAAAGCTGAAAAAGTTGCTAACGCTTGGTCATGATTATTTTGCGTCTGGTGCTAAAGCAACCTCTGTGTGTTAATTATGTTATTTGATACCAGCTCACTTGTGTAGCTATAACTTTTGAAAATTGTGTTGACCTGTCCCTAGGTTTCTCCATATTAGAAGGGACCAAATTCTAGTTTTTGGAAGTACCTTCACGTACACTATCAATATTTTAAGTTAGAGAGCTATATTGATATTTTAGAAGCTATGTTTCATTTAATAACTGATGTAGAAGGGAAAATTGTTTAAAACGTCCCTCACCTTTTCCAAATGAATTTTTTCGTCCTTCACTTTTTAAATAGTAACTTTACGTCCCTTACAAAGTCAAGTCGGTAAAACTTGGTCCCAACCTGGGTTTTCAACCACTTTTTAGCTCGAAATCGCCACGCGGCTCACATGCTGTCATTTTTATGTACAAAAAGGTTAGATCCCACATTTTTAGTGGCAAAAATGAATATGGATTGGGTATGATCCCACTTTTTTAGGAAGAAATGAAGATGGTTTGGGTCATATCCAACTTTTTTAGGGGAAAAAATGCATATCGATCAGGTCATTTTTCTTAACCATAAATGAAATCTAATCTTTTTGGCACTAAAAAATGACCATTTGTAGTTATGTAATGGATTCAGAGTAAAAAGTGTTTGAAAACCTAGGTTGAGACCAAATTTTACCGACTTGATTTTGTAAGGGACGTAAAGTTACCATTTTAAAAGTGAAGGATGAAAAAATTCATTTGGAAAAATGTGAGAGATGTTTTGAATGATTTCACGATGCAGAATTTTGCGAATATGAACAAGGGTGTTTGCCTATTTCTAGAAATCGATATTTTCTGGGCTTTATTTTTGTTTCTATGTTTTGTCAGATTTTTTAAAAAGTATTAGAATTTTCCATCTTGGTTTAATAGGAGTTTATGCGTTCCATCCGGGCACGAAGACGATATTGGGCAAGGAGCTATGCCGGATGGAGAAAGTTCACCGCTGCACAACCTGGTGCAGCTCATATTTCTCTGGCATCTCTTGAGAAAGCAGGACGGATAAATTTTATGGTTACACAAAATGTAGACAGGTACACTGCTTTAGTTATTGGTGTTTTATTGCCTTAGAACTTGTGCATTTTTTTCTCCATAGATTTTTTTTTGGTATAGAACCTAGAGGAGCAGCTAACCTTATAAATTCCTTATATCAGGCTGCATCATCGTGCTGGAAGTAATCCCCTGGAATTACATGGAACTGTATATAATGTTAATTGTACAAATTGTGGTTTTTCACTCTCTCGAAGTGTATTTCAAGATCAAGTAAAAGCCCATAATAAAAAGGTTAGTTTTTCTAACTGCATAAGTAAATGATCTTGCATACTGTTGTATGTTATTTTCAGCTCTGATCTTCTTGTACAAATATGCCTGGGAATTAATCTGATTTATCACATATTTTTATTTTTTTGTCAATTGAGCTATCACCCATTAATAGCTGCATTGTTTTTCCATTTTTGAAGTTGATAAAAGGGATTGATCATGTTAAAAATTGGCACATCAGAAATCTGTATTTGATGGGCTGTTGGTGTAAGGATCTGTCTCATTTGCTTAGGCTGGAAATAATTTATTTCATATTGATGACCAAGAAGGGGATATGGAAAAATAATGCCCCCAAATATCCCTTAGTTTACTCTGAAATATTGATTTCATTTGGTACATTGTCTTTCTCTAGAAGACGCCCATTGCTTGTTCTGGTGTCGTGCCTGGACATCTACGTATGAAGGATACCACTTAGTTACCTTGAGTATGAATTTCGGCACTTTGTGGTAGATCTGTCTCTTTTACTTTGGTTGGGAAGAATTTATTCAGATGATGTCCAAGAAACCTGAAAATATTGGTTTACATTGAAATATTATACTTTGGTGGTACATTTTCTATCTATAGAATACATTAATTGCTTGTTTAGGTGGGGACTGGGATGTGTGCATATGATGGAGAACAGCTAGTTACCTTTACTAGTAGAATATTCAGTCTATTGTGAGAATTGTTTTAATAAGATCTGTATACCTGGTTGAGTTGCCACTAGGTATTGTCATAAGAATATTTCTTGTATAGTCTTAACCTGAAGATTTTTAAATTTGTAAAGAACCTCTCTATAAAGATTAGGATCAATTCTGCCCACAATGGATATGCGAGTACTTCATGACTTTGTTTTATGTCATTAATGCCTTAATGAAGCAAAAATACAAAAGAACGGCTTTTTGGCTCTTATGTCACTGCTGATAGCTAATCTTGGACATTCATGAATTTCTTTCAGCAAGAGTGCCTTTGATCAAATAAATTAACCCCATCAGCTTCTTCTTACTTCCAAACCCTGTCCTCACAATTCCCATTCAAGAAGTTCGTTTTGGCATGAGTGTTACATGATCAATTTAAGTTACTCAATCAATTTCTTCCTGTTACTATCCCCTGGCTCTATCAATTCCTGCTTTGCATTATAGTGCCAAGCTATAACTTACAGGAGCCCTTGCTGAGGCCAGAATGTGTTGAAGGTTAAACTCGTTCGTCTTGGCCAAAGTTACATACTAGTGAAGTTTTGCCTTTCTCCCATGGAACTGCTATTTATAGGCATGTCCAACTATGTGTCTGCTTTCCGAAATTTGCATCATTGTATTTGTGTTTTAAGTTTTTGAGGTTTTGAGGTCTAAACTGTCAGTTATATTTATTTGTATCAAGCTGTCTCTACATTGATTATTTATTTTTTTTCTCATTTCTTTGAGGTGGTTTGACTTGAAATGCTCAATTAACCTAACAATTGTGCATATGTATGACGTACTTTCCTGTTCTATGAGAACTACTTCTCAATCAATATGTTGTGCTATTTGCCAGTGGGCAGCTGCAATTGAAAGTTTAGACTATGACAGTGTCTCCGACAAGAGCTTTGGTATGAAGATTAGGCCAGATGGCGACGTTGAAATTGATGAGAAATTCTGGGAGGAGGAATTTCATATTCCTAGTTGTCAGAGATGTGATGGAATTTTAAAACCTGACGTAAGCCATTTCCTCATTTACATGATGTTAGTGGGATTGTTATTTTTCCTGGATTGAGAGTATCACTGGGTTCATGCAAGTCACCTAAAAATAATAATAGGTAGCAAATAAAAATTTGCACTTGCAGTTGACATTTTAATGTTTTAGCTCTTGATTTACCTAAAGGTCAAAAAAGATTCTTCCAAAGAGATATATATCCTTTCTTTACACTATATCAGTGCTTACTGAAAACAAATGGAAAAATAAAAAGTAAAAAATTAAATAGGAAGAAGTCTTTTGAAATTGGATCTAGCACATGAGTTTAATGAAAAACATGATAACTAAAAGTTTTTCCGCATTCATCTTTTATTTTATTAGATAAATGCCTAAAACTATTTTGCCTTTTCGCCCCAGAAAAATACATTTCCACTTGTATTCCTTGAAATAATCTGTGAAAGTACTGAAGTTGTCATTTGGACAACAAAGAATTCTTAGATTAATATGTTTCTCTTTCAACTAATGATGAGCTCTTATTGTACAGATATAGAAATGGGAGTACAGAAATTTGTTTTCGGTAGGTGGAGAGTACAGAAATTGTCTTTGTAAACTAAATTGTATTCGAGCCTAAACATTTGATTTTATTAAATAGAAAGTTCCATTCAACTGGTAAATTAATTAGTTTCACAAAGACTGGATGCCAGATTACTGGATGAATTCCTTTTTCCTTTCTCTTGATAAATATTTGCTATTAGCTTCAACTGTTTTCACATTTTAATTGGTATATATTCGTAGTAAGGACAATAGATGTTGATTAACCTATTAACCTTACATGCTCCTTCTTGCACTTGCATCATTAAGGTTGAGATGCAATTGGAAAGGATCTCACATTGTCATTTCTTCCTCTTTCTTTTTATCTTTAGAGTAGCACATTTCTCGGTAAGAGGCATCATTAAAATGGCCCCCATGTATTTTATAGCGAGTCTGTGAATCTCTACTGCGAAGATAAAATCGGGAGTTATTTTGGATAGCTTATATTCCAACAGTTCCACAAAGAGGAAAGCTGTTTCTCAAGGTTCTTTCTACTGCTTCAATTGCACTTCTTTTCCTTCCTGTGCAAACAAATTCTGACAGGATACTGAACAGAGGCATCTTTGAAGCCTCCAGCTCAACAAATTACCATTTTCCATCCTCATAAGTGCATCAGAACACAGTGCTATTTATAAGTAAAGTTTACAACAAAGATTTACCTATTTTTTTGAAATGGTAAAAACTTCTACATTGTGAAGCAATGCAAAAAGATTTGTCTGTCAACTTGCTCAGGTTCCTGCAAGTTTCATGCAGAATAGAGGCTGGTATGCTATTTGTCAATTCAAATTTGAATGTAAGAAGCTGCGCATTCTGTTAAATTGGCATGTAAAAAGAAACCTTTTATTCTCTCTCTCTCTCTCTCTCAACACGTTATTTAAAGGAAGTGGAGATTTGGATTCAGCAACAAAGGAAAACATTGTGTGGCAGGAGCACTTAGGTTTTGTCATTGATAGAATAGTTAGATGTAGGCCAGGTAAGCCACACTTTCCAGAATTCAGTCCACTGGATTGACATAATCTCCTATCGTGTATCAATGTGGCTGTTAAATCTCTCAAATACCATAATAATCACAATGGACACGCCAAAAGAATAAAACAGAATGTTTTCATGAGGTTAAAAATCTACAAAACCAAAAAAAATAAAACAGAATGTTTTCATGAAGTTAAAAGTCTACAAAATGGACAGTATTTAGTTTCCAGATGTATCAAATGGTTCCCCAGTTTGCTAAAACAATGTTGAGCTAGATTTTTGGTAAATCTTGAGTGTATAATACTTCAGATGCATACAGTACTTTGTTTACAAATTTATCGGTGTACTTGACATTACCGGGACTTGCTGGTTCATAATTTTAACTTTGCCTTGTATGTTTCATTCTACTTCTTTGGATGAATTATTCTTGTTTTTCCTTGATTTCATTTGGCGATGATGTTTTATCTCAATTAAATGCTTGTCTTATCTATTCTTTTCTTTTAGCTACTTTGCATAACCATCTTTTATTGGTTGACATATACTGGAACTAGAATGTCTATATTCATCTTAATGTCTAATGTATTTAACTTTCTGCAGGTTGTCTTCTTTGGTGATAATGTCCCAAAGGATAGAGCTGACACAGCCATGGAAGCTGCAAAGAGATGTGATGCTTTTCTTGTGCTTGGCTCATCTTTGATGACTATGTCTGCTTTCCGTCTTATTAGGTGAGAATTGTTTAATCTTACTATTCTATTTTTTTTGTTATTGAAAAAACAAAGAGGGGGATGGAGGCAAGATGATCATGTTCAGCAAGTTTTTTGCAGTAACCACATATTTAAGTGGGTCATTATAGGACACAAAGAAAACTTATCAATATTGTGGCTGACAAATATTTGGAGGATTTGAAATAAAATATGCAATTCAATGAATTATAATTACGTGTTAATCGATTAACCTGCTATGCAAATTGAGATAAAAGTGGTTCTCACCTTTGACTTAGCTCGACCAAGGTAAGGGAATTTTTCTGTTTACACAAGCTGAACTAGTTTATATTCTTCCTTGTAACATACTTGCATTAGATGATCTTTTGTTCTTTAAACATGTTTGTGAGTTGATTGCTGCTTGTGAGTATAATTGCATTCTTGGTCCATACTTTAGCTTTAAGATAAATAGCCAAATAACTTCAAACATCGAGAAGTCCACTGAACAGATTTCAGCCAGGCAGGACCTAGAGATTTATGAGCAACCATGCATCAGTTTGGGTGCTAGAAATCAGCAGCCAGATGTCAGTTTGGGTGGTAAAAATTGTCTCAAGTGATGTCTTAGCTGCACATGGAGCTCAATACTACAATCCATGTCTTAGGGATAGAGCTTCAAGTATGTTGCTGCTATTTGTCTTAGTAGAAAGCGCACAACAACTCCCCTGCCTCATCCTTTGACCCTGCTTACTGGCCAGGATAAGAATAAATTCCTTTCAAGGAAAGGGTGGAAGTGAATGCTTTCCTAAGATGTCTTTTACCCAGTTGCTGGCCTATTTACCCAGAAAGAAAAAAGATTAGAAAGAGAAAAAAATATTTCTTATAGAGACCCCTCTCACAGCAAGAAATCTATCTTAGTGCCTTTCCAGGTACTATACAGGCTTTCAGACTCAATATCTTCACTCTTGAGCTTCGTCTTGCTTGTGTGGTTTGCCCCATATAAGACCCTAAACACATGGATTCCTCTAAGACTCCAACAGGCTAAGCAATGGATGAAGCGGCTTACCTCAAGATTGATACATATTAATTGCAAAGAGCTATGTATTAGGTTGATACTGATAGCAATACATATTCAAAAACAAATTTAAGATAACGAGAATGCTCTATCCTGATTATATGTAAAGAAATGTACCTTCCCTGGTAAACAATATTCAATATTAAATAGTTGCTTAGCTCTTAAAATTTCAATGGAAAGACCCTTTTTTTTCCACTCTCCCAGAGAAAAATTTTGAAGTAAAGCAAAGCAACTCCCACTCGGGAAGTCTCATATTAAGCAAACGCTCAACCCTTATTCAGCTTCTACATGGTTTAAGGCAATACATTTCAACTTCAGTGATGAAACTATCTAGTTCTCTTGGGAGTTCCCTTCTGTTGCTAATGCCTATGTAACATTGGAGTTTGTGTAAGAGAGTTTTGAGGGATATATAGTTTAAATGCTAGTTGCCATTGATCTTCTTGGATGAAAAAGGGCATCTCTCCCTGCAGGCAGTGAAACTCAAGTCTTATTTATGTCTGGGCATTGATTTATTCCTGTATAGAATCTCTCCAGCAAGAATGATCGAAGGCTTCAGCAACTAGGATTATATCATAAAAGAGAAGCTTTTAGTCCAAAGGAAGGTGTCGATAGCAGTTAATGTGCCCTCTAATGGCTTCAATGTTTGTTGTTGGTGATTTTGTGATTTGAACCAAAGCTAAAGTAGGTCTCTGTATCAGTTTCATGAGGGCTTTTCATGTAATTGATATATTGTGAGAAACTATGAGTGTAATCTGGCGTCCTACGCTCTCTAGCATCTCATTTTCTTGGCTGTTAAGTTTGCTTAGGGCTGTTAAGTTCACTTACTCTATTTGGTGTCCCAGGTCCAAGCCTTGCCATCTTTCTAAGTATGATTTAGGTGAAGCTTGGAATGTTCTGATGCAGACAGAAGCCTGAGAAGACTAGGGAAAGCTTTGGTGCATGACCAGCTTATGGGCTTGAAAGCAAAATGGTGAAAGACATTGTCCTGGTTAGGTAAATTAGCCCGCTTATGGGCTTGAAAGCAAAATGGTGAAAGACATTGTTCTGGTTAGGTAAATTAGCCCAACGCCTGGATACTTACATGAAAAAACTTGTAGAACGGACGATATTCTTTTAAGTTTTAAAAGCTGATGTGCAACGCGAGCAAAACCTGATTATATATTGACTTGCAGCTATAAAATAAAAGTCTAATATAAGTAAATTCTCATCCTAATGCTTAGAATCCTAATCAGTGCCTTGTCCAATGGAAGTTATGCTGGTCCAGAATGAGTGAAAAATTATTGTGGAGACTTGTTTGGAATTGGTAATTCTTTTTCTTTCTTTTCTTCTTCCTTCTTTCCTACTTTTCCTTCTCCTATCCACAGTTTGTCCTACTTTCCGGAGCCAAGTATCTGATATCCTTTTTTATCCACATTTCCTTGGTACTGCATCAGATGGAAAAGTGGACTAAATTTGTGCTTTGAAATTTGTCCTGTATGTGCCTAAATTTGCTATCATGCTTGTGTATGCTGCAACTGGGGTGTTGGACTTGAGCTCAAGTCCAAGAGTATCTGAAGTATAATTGCATTTGGTATGTGTTTTGGCTTGAAAGATACCCATTTCAAGACTGGCAGATCCTTTCCTAATAAGGTTTGGTTTGTTAGTTATGCCCCTATCTTTTGGTCTGGTCTTCATCAACCTTTTTGTATTGTTTATTTGTCGACTTGATTATAGGTCTTTGTTTTTTGGCAGCTTCTGCAGCAGTTACTAATAGATTTCCCCTCCTTTTTGTTTGCCACATGAGATGTCTGATATGTTCTCTTTGTTCTTGCATTTTTTGGATTTAGTAATTCATTTGGAGGGAATCCATTCTCAGTTTAGACATTGTTCTCATTCAATCTCTATAATTCCATACAATAAGCCAAGTATGAACTCAAGATTTTCGTCTGTTGCTGCCATGCTGTGGTATAGATATTCATTATGAAGTCCTAAAACCCAAACTTATGAACATTAAATTTAAACTGGTGCTTATAAGGGTCTCTGTTTTCTGGTTCAGTTTCTTTTTCTTTTTTCTAATTGGCATTACGATGTCTTTTTGAAATTGCTAAGAGTATCATTTTCAATTAGATTTTATGCACGGGTGTTTATTATTTGAATAAAGAGGTCATGTATTAAAAGACGGTTATGGGACAGTTTCCACAAAGATCCCTTTTCAATAAGGGATGTATAAAGATTATTTTTTGGTCTTATTTGTTAGGGCTGCTCATGAAGCTGGTGCTGCTACTGCAATTGTAAACCTTGGCGAGACACGAGCTGATAAATTTGTGCCTTTAAAAATCAATGCTCGACTTGGTGAGGTAAGGTTTCAGTTAAATCACATTTTTCTGAACAGAGTCTCATATTGCAAGCACCTTGTAAGCCTCTGTTGTAAATGAAATATTGTTTAGATGATGGTTTTGTATCCAGCAAAGTAAAATTGGATTAAAACCATTTCTTTGTCCTGCCTAAAGTGCCACTAGATGTTGGATGGAATCTCGTTTAGTTCTTATGCTGCATTTTCTAAGTTGTATGCTAAATATTAGTACATATATGTTGTAATTCTACCTGCATTGGTATTAAGGAGCCCTTGGTATCTGATCAGACTCCTCTCTACTTTCTTATGTTCATGTGGTGCAGTACAATTTCGGATTAATTCCATAGAAAGATTTTGTTTGTGCCAAATTTACAGGGCCCTTGATACAACATTGGACTTTGTTTGCTCCAAATTGAGTTACTTGAGTTGGGTAGAAGAATTTGGATTTAGGGCTAAATTTCAAAGGAATGGATTTCAAATCTGTAATTACGAAATTAAGTTGCTTGGGGCATCAAAGAGGTTTGAAGAAGGGATTTGAAACCCATAACTTAAACCAAAAAAAAAAAAGATTATGATTACCTACCTAGGCAACGAAAACCGTTAAAAGAAAAAAGAATAAAAATAAAAAGGTCTTCCAAGTCTGCTTCAAAATGAAATGAGTACATTGAGAAACAAAAGCAGAACTACTAAATGTCCTAGGCAAAAGTTAAATTGCATTAGTCCATAAATAATGTTTAAATTTTTTAACAGTCTTACAGATGGGAAATACAACATCAAACTCCTTTTTCTATGAATTAATCTATATCAACCTCAAAGTTAAAAGAAAAAAACATATTGAGCCGTGTAAAGTAAACAAATCATGGGATTCAATGAACTTGATTTATGAAATCTTGATAAATGAAACTAGAGAAGTGGGATAGGCATAACTAGGGATGGCAATTGCGGTCACCCGCCCCGCTGGGGGCTAATGGGGAGGGGGTTGGGGAGGGGGCGGGGGGAATTTCCCCTCCCCCCCTCCCCCGCTTAGAAACGGGGCGGGGGGCGGGGGTACACTCCCCCGCCCCGCCACCCGCTTTAAAAAAATAAATATATAAAAAATATATATAATTATATATATAATATATAATTTAATTAGTTACAAACTTATGATAATGATATTATTAGTTATATGTATTATATAATGTCTATTAGTATATATAATATAATTGATATTATTAATTATATTAATAATTATATATGTGTACTAATACAAATTATTAATTGGTTATACTAAATTTACTAATACATTTATATTAAATCTCTAATTACACTTAATACAATAACATTTTTTTCTTAAAAGAAGCACAAGCAGAATAATGAATTAATGATTGTATTTGTGCCAAAAGTGAAAACTTGACTACTTTAGTTATATTTATTTCATCATGTTGGATTGTATTCAAATAATTTTTATTTGATTGTTTTTATAAGTTTCAATTGTAAAATTACAATGAATAATAATTTGATGATGTGTTGATATTTTAGTACTTGATTATTTGCTAAAATTTAACCATAATAAAATTTTATAACAAATTTTTATTAGCCCTGCGGGGGCACCCGCGAGGGAAGCGGGGCGGGCCGGGGGGAGCGGGGGACGGGGGATGGGGCAGGGGCGGGGGGAGTTTGTAGGCAGGGGGGCGGGGGATGGGGGAGGGGTCCCCTGCCCCAACCCCGCCCCGTTGCCATCCCTAGGCATAACCAAAAAAAAAAAAAAATGTTGAGCCCTATAAAGTAAACAAAATACAGGGTTCCATGAGTTTGATTTATGAAATCTTGATAAATGAAACTAGAGAAGAGGGATAGACATAACCAAAAAAAAGAAAAGAAATAAATGTTGTTTAATTTCTCTATCTGTATTAGATGCTCAAATTTTAGATTCAAAAATTGAAACAGCAATTATCTTGAAGGCTTGACAATGATAGGGAGGATATAATCACCTTTTGGTGTGTCTGTGTGTGTCTGTCAATATATATATATATATTAAGGTTATTGCCTACTACAATGTATTCACACTAATAAATTTCTACTATGTATTCACACCAAAAACCAAAATATTTAAAATCTAATACTAAATTGATCTTAAATTTGAGAGATTGATTGAGCTTTAAACCAATACAAAAAGGGTTAAACTGCTTAAGTTTGTTGTAAGTATGCTCTAAATTTTTTTTTCCACCTACACATATATGACTTAACCATGTGTGGGTCCTAAACTAACTAAAAATATCCATATAGAAAAACTTGTCCAAAAAAACCAAGTTAAAGATCAAGTAATTGTCATTTGAGGACAATGGTAAAGTTGCTAATAAAAAACTATTGAACACCAAACTGTCATTAAATTTGAAGAAGGAATGGACACTTGTCAATCATACAAACCATCAAGAGCTTTTGCTCTACATTTAGTTAGATAATTGAAATTAGGGGTAATTACAATTCATCCCTTAAGATGTAACCTGATTTCACTTTACTCCCTAATCTTTATTTTTTGTCACTTCACCACCTGAGGGATAAAACTACTCTATCATGCTAGGTTTTTATTTTTTTCTATTTTCTTCTTTCTTTTCCCAAATAATCATTACCAATGGTGCAATTTTGAGCACTCCAATTATGGTGGTATAGTATCACATGAGAGAAGTAGTTTTATCAGGGAATATACTAATATTTAATTACTTTAGGATAAATGGTAAAGAAAATATTATGACAAGCAAAAATCTATTTGAGGAAAAGAGAATAAAAGGATGTTAAATTAATCACATGTGAAGGTGATTGCAAAAATATGAGTAACCTATTTTGAATTGTATAATTATAAGGATATGTAATAAACATTTTTGCCTTTAATTTCTTAGATTGAAAAAATTGATGAAACTAATTAGCATGTAATTTTTTGTAATTGACAAATTATATGGAAGAGAGACAAACTAATATAGATACTATACAAATATATATATAGGCGCACACACACACATACATACATACATATACAATAGTAGAACATATGTGTGTGTGTGTGTGTATAAAATAGTAGAACATAAAATCAATTAGAATTTCATTCTTTGGGCCAATACAAATTTTAGAAAATAAAACTACTGGATAGAGAAATTCTTTTATTAGCTCAAAAATAGGAATTTGAAAAAAGAAAAATAATTTAAATAGAAATGAAAAGAGATAAGTAAAAAGAAAAACAAATTTCAACATAATAGAAGGGTAGTTGACAATAAAAAAGGGCTAGGGGGTAAACTAAAAATTAAAATATATGTTAAGAAATAAATTGTAATTATTCATTAAAATTAAACTATCCGGTCAAAGTAACCAAACCAAAACCAACAAATTGTCAATAGGGCACAATGGCATGATTACAAATATAAGGCAGTGGAACTCCATAATCCTCATTAAATATGGGAGCAAATGAGCATGTGTCAGCCACATGAACTCTCCAAAGTATTAGCGTAACCACTAATACATACATACATATATCCAACTACTATCTAAAAATTTAAGACTACCCTCACCAAAAAATGTCACGTGGACAACTTAAACTGACTTGGTATTCTTTGATTGATTTGTTGTTTTAACACTACTTTCACTAACAATTGTCATCTGTAATTGACCACTTGACATGTGTGTTTTGGTATATGTTTAACCATGGAGGGTTGGGTTGGGTTGGGTGGTACGGGGGAGGGAGTGTAA